CAGAGCAGGATAGACTGCACAGTAAAAGAGGAATTATAGAAACCACTCCTATGTGGTGGAATACGAATTTTAAGACAATTTTGGGAACGGGGAACTCTATCGTTAGTAGAATACAAATATTGAAAGTTATCCTTAAGATAAGAGGGAGAATTGGGGTCATTTAAAATTTAATGTAGTACTTGCAAAGTTCGGGAGCTATGCCTTTGACGAAAAGATAGCCATTTAAGCTTAGATCGGTACTGGGAAATATGGTCATACTTACGTAAGCCGAAAATGAATCTAATACAATTGTTGAGAAGGCGCTCCAACTTATCGAGAAGATATTGAGATAGATCTGGGTAACACACATCCGCATAATCAATAATGGGTAATATCAAAGTCTGGATTAGCAGAAGTTTAGTTTTAAAAGGCAGGCAGGTGGCAGTTACTTTACGGCTTGTTTCGGCAACTTGAACTTACCAGCTTAAGGTACGGTCTATATGTAAGCCAAGATTTTTGACAGACTTACAAAATGGCAACAACGTGCCATTGTAAAATACGGGAGCAAGGTAATCGTTATTAATCTTAGCTAACATTCTGCTACTACCTATATCCATTGCTTTGCATTTGGTTGGGTTAACCAAAACACCATGTCTGTACGACCAATCTCTAATGACATCGAGGTTGTGGTTGAGTTTATGAATATTATCATTAAGGTCGTTAACACTAGATTGCACATAGAGGCGAAGATCATCTGCATACAGATGGTACGAACAATTGAGAACTGAAGTGATAGAATTTATGAATAAAGAAAACATTAAAGGAGAAAGTATTCCGCCTTGCGGCACGCCTGTTTCAATGTCAACCCATCTTGAGAACTCTTGTCCTAATCGTACTGATTGCTGGCGGCTGCGAAGATAGGATGAAAACCATTCCAAAGCTATGATTGATAATCTAAGATTAGTTAGGAAGGCTATAAGGATATCGTGGTCGACTGTGTTAAAAGCATTTGAAAAGTCAACAAGCACTACCACCGTAAGGTTTTGCTCATCCATTCCCATTCTAATATCATCTGTAACTTTTATCAATGCAGAGGTAGTAGTGTGACCTGCACGAAAGCCTGACTGATATTTATTCAGCAGATAGTATTTGGTTATGAACATATAGATTTGCTTGTGAACACAGGCTTCCAGAACTTTAGATAGGTATGGAAATATTGAAATTGGTCGGAAATGGGTAGGTAATGAGGGATTAGGTATTTTAGGAAGTGGTCGCACAAATGCTTTTTTCCACTGAGTAGGATATTAACCTGACTCAAGGGAATAGTTTATGATATGTGTGATTGCAGGCAAAAGACACTCAAGGATGATGGATACCATAACCTTACTAACCTCATCGCAACCCACAGCCTTGGATTTAACAGCTAGTACAGTTTTATGTATCTCATCCTCAGTCACAGGTAAGAATTGAAAAAAGGAATAGGAGGAGATGGCATGGATTGAATGGAAGCTATTGTCGTAGAACGAACTGTGGGATCCAAAGGAGAAGTAGAAAAAAGTAATGATTTATTTCATCCAGAGTGATTGATGGACAACGGTCAGATGTAACGGCCTTACTAATACCTAGTGTTTTAAGAAATTTCCACACATAAGCGGTTGAAGAGTTTGCAATATTACTATGGATATAACGACGTTTAGCATTTCGTACCATCTGATTGCATCTGTTTCTTAGCACTCTGTAGCGATCCCAGCTGTCCTGTGTACGTAGCTTCTTAAATTTCACAAATGCTCGATCTCGCCTAGTCATTGCCAACCTTACGGCCTCAGTCACCCACGGAGCTGGTGAACGCTTCACTCTTACTTGATGTTTGGGAGCGTGTTTGTTGTACAGACCAAGAACTATATTATTAAGGATTGAGACTTTATCGTCAATAAAAGTTGATTTAAATAAAGAGGTTAAGTCAATACCATAGGCGTCACTTTTAAGTTTATCAAAATCCATTCTAGAGAAATTACGAATGTATAGTACGACGGGACTGAGTTTAGGAGAAATCAGCTTATATGATATATAAATAAGATCATGTCATGAAAAAGCAGGAGCCGATAGTTGTCCGTGCTTAATGACGTAATCGGGAGAAACCGTGATAATATGATCAATCCATGAGTCATCAGTGTCAATGTTGTGGTGAGTTGCCGTTAAGGGGAGAATTTGGAGATCGACTGACTCTATGATTGACCGAAATAACAATGGCGAACGCCCATACAAATTTTTATGTCACGTAATCTGGAAGCGTCTTTACATCAAAAATATCAAAAGCGATTCACCATCTCTCCCTGAGATTGTTTGTCGAAGATTTTTTTATCTACGAGGCCGGGAATAATTGTTACGAGACTTTGAAGATTTGTAGGTTATGTGACATTATCACTTAAATGATTCAAGATTTATTATCAATTTATGAGTGTTTTACCTAAAGGATTTCAATAATTTAATCTTATATTAATGTTTAATTTATAATTATTCACCATTAGGTATATTACTGTTTTCAAAAAATTCAAAGTTATTTTTGAGTAATCAACTTGTGGAACAGATTAAACTCCCTATTAAGCAATTTACTCGCTTATTAAGGAATTCACTGCAGAGAATTCAAAATAATATGTTTAGCCATAGTACAAGTTCCACTTTAGAGCTAGATAATGAGGGCAGGGCATCCACGACTTTTTCTGCCACCAGAGCGGCGCTTCTTACAAATGAGGTGTAATATTTGACAGATTTCATAGCGGGAACTCAATTTGTTCGAAAAATGTAAAGGTTAACGTTTCTTTATGCACTATTAGTTATATTTTATATCAATTTAATTAAAACCAAACCACAGATATTTATAAAAGATGAGAATTAAAAAAAAGAGTGAAAAAGGTACAAAAAAATTAAAGAATTAACTCCTGAGGCATTGTTTTGTGTATTAATATAATACTATAGAAATTGATAAACTTTTATTTAAACCTAAATTCTCGATTAAATTACATTGTGTAACAAAAAACTTTGCCTGTGTCAACAGGCGACATCTGGTGAATGGAAGATTATTAGCCAAGTAATATTATTCGACCAAAGGTAAATAAAACAAAAAATTAATTGTACATTTATTCATCATCATTTTCCCTAATAATTACACCATCTAAAAACTCTGCTGGTACTGAAATATGTTGATGATGTCTGGCCCATCCTAAATACTAAACTAAAGTCATGACATGTGCGTAACAGCCTAGTGTGCGCCGACCAACTAAACAACTACAGCAGTACTCTGCGATTCCTGTTCGACCAGGTATATTATTTTCTAATAATATATATATATATATATATATATATATATATATATAATATTATCTCCGGGTTACATTCCGTGACTTAATCTTGCCTCTAATCAATGTAGTTCCATTTGTAGATCCCCTCAGATCATATTCAGATGGATCGAATTGCTCACTACAGATTTCTATTCTGTATCCGCCATGGAAATGCACATGGTCGCCGTAATATGAGCGAGCTTGTTGAATTTGGTACGTTCCCAGGGCGAACAAAACCAGTTCTTTCATTTCTAATATTGGAAAATATAAAATGTTATCCCTATCCGCAGTAATACTTTGAAAGTAGGATGTGCGTCTGTTCATATTTCAATCTTCAACCATATTAGCCAGATTATTTTCGAAATTCATTTGCTGCCTAATTATTTCTAATATTTCTGTGGCATATATATTATTATCTACAAAGCGAACACCAAACCTGTGTAACAGAGCCGCTGCTATTTGGAAGTTTTGCATCATATGTGGTAGAGACCTATAGAAATAATCTTGTGGAAATATTTTAAAATCTCTTTTAAAATGTCCATTTACGGCCTCTACCACCCATCTGCAAATTGTGACACAGCGACTCCGATTGGCTTGAGCAGTAGTGAGTTGGTGTTCACCTTCTATCAAAGATTCTGGCATATATGGTTTGTACCTACATCCTTATAACAAACTTATGCTGTCTCTGGATCCCCTATCCAAGATAAATGTATCATTCTCTTTACAATATAATCTTAAGGCAGAACTCTCACTGAACAAATTGATCATTAGTTCTGCATCTGATGTAGTTGCTTTGTATGGATCAAAAAAATCAACAATATATCCATCACATGCGACAATCATGAATGGTTTTAATAAGTTTCTATATTTGTGAAGGGAGTAACTCTGTTTTTGGAACATGTAGTTTGAATATGTTCCATCACAAATTACAATGCCATTTGTGTTGTTTTCATTTCCATAAAGGCCATGTGGTATTGTTAACTTGTGCTCCAGCAGTTGTTCTCGCTTTAAATGGTTTATTCCCAAGTTTTGGGGTACAAAATCTTGGAGCAAAATCTCTCTTATTTTGTCTATTGAATTCTCTAGTGTTTTGCGCGGCACTTATACTAAAGTGGCAATTCTTTCATCAGTATCCCCTGTCCTCATCTTCATTAAAAGTGCTGCTAGGCCCAAGCATCCTTTTCGTGCTTCATTTATACGCAGAACTTCTTCTAATATACTGTTGAACTTTTCTTTGGTAAGTCCAATCCAGTATTCGAATAATCTGTCATCCATTTCAAGAACATTTTCGAAGTCCAATATTGTATTAATTTTAATAAAAGAAAAAGTGTCAAAACTATTTGCAGAATCATATAAAGTCTCCCATAAATTGCTACTTAAATGTTCACTGAAAACATGAGCTAGTTTAGGTATGTAGTAGTTGTGATTGCTTAGAACTATAGCACGGAGTTTGTCACTGATGCAATGCAATGTGGTACTGTTACAATTGCTGAAAACACAACAATTGTTGTTGTTAGCCTTCTATAATCTGGTAAAGTTAATCCATTTGGTGTGCGACTCACTTCTTCATTTGAAACAGATGGCTGCACCTCTGCTACTATAGGCATATCTGCTGTTGAACTTCTTCTAATATACCGTTGAACTTTTCTTTGGTAAGTCCAATCCAGCAAATCAAAAAAAAAATTAAATATACGACTCCTCAGTTGCAGATTGTGGTCTGTTGACATCATGGGTATGACGGGCCTCTCTTTGAGTGCGCAACCAACAAGGGTGACATACCTTATCAGTTTCTGTAACCTAGAAATAAAAAAATACTTTAGTGAGAAAGCTGAAAAATTTCTTTTTAAATAAAATTTGTGGGAAAATAGGCATATCAGTAAAACCCTTTTGAATATATTCTAATACGAAGTGTATTCATTCATAGATTTGATTAGCATATAAGCACATAATAATCGTAACATTTGGAAATCAAATCAATGATATTTGTGTGTTAGTATATGTGCACATAGAAACCAAAAATACCCATTTGCTTAAAGATTAGAAATAAATGGTTCCAAAAATCAAAACAATTAGCTCAGTTTGAAACTAAGCCTGAGCACATGCTATGCCAACTAGGATAACAGATAGTACTTATATACGATTATAAACATCCATCACTGAGGTACAAATGTTCATGAACCCGCAACTGATGGTTTCGTAGTCCGCGCAGACCACTAGACTAAGATAATCATCAAAAAATTTTAATGTACATAGCATACCTGTCTTGGAGCAACTCTGTTTTCAATAATGGTAAACATCAACTGATGCAGGTCCATGGGGTTATCTCTCAATATTCTGCCACTTTGCATTCGCAAAATGGAACACCCACATAAAAGGCATACACTAGCGTGGCCTTGGTGACTTGGTCCAGGTTGTTGGTCATCAATGCCAGATATTTCTTGTAAACTATGATTTACACTTATCATTGCTAGATCTCTGCATGCTTCACAGATATAGTCATCTTCGGTAATCTGAAAAATAAAAGTACTTATTATTAGGATGGTGTCATCCGTAACTAGATCTATGCGAAAAAATGATTGTAATCTATTGTGTTTGGTAATGGCAACAGACGAGAGGTTAATGTTGAGTTAAAGTGTCATCCATTGTTCATCATATTAATTTATAAGGCAATCATATTACGTATAATGGGTGCAAAGACTATTTTTACAACAATTAACATTGATCACTAAAGACTCAGCGTAGGACATACCTATAATAGATTTATTATTCTGATAAATATAAGATATTACGGTTCCTTAGAATAAATAAACACTTACGATTTGTGGATACACTCAGCTACAGAGTAATGTGGTAACTCTTATGTCGACTTCCAAAGCACGGTATCGACGCAGTGTATTAACGCATATGTTTCAATTGATGCACATAATGCGAGTAACTCTGCCACGATCGCTCATCATGCCCTACGATTTTGTAATCCTGTGACAACAAAATCGTAGGGCACAAATCGGAGTCCAGATGAGAATAGCGCAATGTCGTCGGGTGTAGCAGTATCGGAATCCTTGGGCACGCAATATTCACACAATAGAAAATCAATATCGGATAAATCCAGGTCGAATAAAAATAAGGAAATCAAAAGGCAAAACCAAGGACACAAAACACAGGCAGCACAAACGGCGCGAGAGCAGTGTGTCAAACGTCAAAACGTCATTACGACACTGTCATAATTGACAGATGTGTTGCTATAGCATTTGTCCACAACAACCCCAAAGAAAAAATCACTAAACAAACTGAATTCCAAGAATATATAAGCAAATACGAGATATTTTTTTTAAATAATCTTATGTCACTTTTGTTTAAATGATATTTATAATAATTATATTACTTTATCGTAAACCAGATGCAACAAGATGAGGTGAAAATGATTTACTCGTATAACTACGAAACTGAAATAATTATAAACTGGTCACACTAAGTGACAGAAGCGATATCCATTTGATTACAATCAATTAAGTCCCCAAAAAAAGTAATGATTTTTATTCCGGCCTTTACTAATTTTGATGTTAATTTGATAAAATGCAATAATTTTTTTGATTACGTCCTATAATAATTATAACTCAAGACGCTTCAAAATATTTGACATATTATTTCGCCATTGTCCTTTTTGAGAACGAGAAGAATTTCTCAACAAATCAGTATTGAAATCACCCATTATTATGAAGTGCGTGTACTTAGATGAAGTGAAAGTGAGGGCGCCTTCAAGAACGTCGAAAAAATTAACAGCAGGTGGACAGTATACTACCCCGAGAATTGCCTTTACATCTTTACAAATTTCCAGAAACAGAAACTCCGGTGAGGCAGAATACGCAGATGGAGAAGCTAAAATTATTTTATAAGGGATGTTTGCTCTAAGGTATATGGCAACACTACCTCCTCCTTTTTACAATTCGGTCGTTACGCACAAGAACAAAATCATTTAGAGGATATAAGCTGGACATTAATGATGGCTTTAGCCAACTTTCTGATACTAAGATTGCATGAACACAGTCTATAGAAAAAACTTCTTCAAAATAAAAATAATGACTTGGAATGCTTTGAGCATTGACATGACATATATTAAGCAAGTTTTTACAAGGAGTAAATAAATTTATCAGCTCATCGCGGAGGGAGAGCATACTATCACTACTATCACAGGACTCGAACGAGATATCTGAATCATGGGCAGAATAAAAAGATTCATCATCCGACATATCTAACATTAATAATAGAGATACAAGAATAATAAACTTTAAATGAATAAAAATATAATATCATCATTATCATCATCATTACAGCCCTACAAGTCCACTGCTGAACATAGGCCTCCCCCAAGTAATGCCACAAAGCACGGTCCTGAGCCACCTGCATCCATCGACTTCCTGTATGTCTTACCAGGTCGTCACTCCATCTAGTGGGGGTCGCCCTACACTACGCCTACCAGTACGAGGCTGCCACTCGAGAACCATTCTTCCCCATCGGTTATCGGTCCTTCGAGCTATATGGCCGGCCCATTGCCACTTCAGCTTACTAATCCGTTGGGCTATGTCGGTCACTCTGGTTTTACTGCGGATATCCTCATTTCTGAGTCTATCACGCAGAGAAACTCCGAGCATAGCCCTCTCCATAGCTCGCTGAGCGACCTTGAGCGTCCTCATACGGCCAGCAGTGAAGGACCACGTCTCAGATCTGTAAGTCATCACTGGCAACACGCACTGGTTGTACACTTTAGTTTTCAGAGATTGAGGTATACCTGACGAGAAGATGTGTCGTAATTTCCCGAACGCTGCCCAGCCGAGTTGAATCCGTCGATTGACCTCTCGGTCGAAGTTGGACTTACCTATTCGGACTATTTATCCCAGGTAAACGTACTCGTCAACAACTTCGAGCATAGTGCTCCCCACAACTACCGGCATAGGTGTGACATGGACATTGAACATAATCTTTGTTTTGTCCATGTTCATCTTAAGACCATGTTTATGCCGCAGGGTATGTATGTGGTTTATGGTACTGAAGCTTTTTCGGAAACCGGCTTGTTTGGGAGGCTGGAAGTCGTCGAGTCTGCGTGCGAGACGAATCGTAATGACTCTCGAGAACGTAGACGCGGCTCAGAAGGGAAATCGGTCTGTAGTTCTTCAAGAGAGCGTTGTCGCTTTTCTTAAAGAAGAAGACCACCGCAGTTCTGCTCCACGCCTCCGGAGTAGTGCCACCATGGAGGACGGAATTGAAGAGCTTCTGAAGGACTTCAAATACCGGTGTCCCACCCGCTTTCAGAAGCCCCGCTGTAATTCCATTCTCGCCTGGGGCCCTGCCGTTTTTAAGCTGCTGGAGAGCCATTCTAATCTCACTCAGACTGACGTCCGGGATATCATCGGAATAGTGTCGGGTAAGACTTGCTTTTGGATCGTTACTCACACTTGCGTGTGGCTCCAACGATGATATGTACAGCTGCCCACAGAACCTCTCAATCTCACTCAAAATCTCAGGTGTCCCGGAAAAGATGCTGCCACACTCAGTCTTCAGCTTTGACAGTTGGCTCTTTCTGGCAGACAGATCTCTCGCAAAGACTTTGGAGCCCTGGTTCCGCTCGATCGCTTCTTTAATACGAGCAGTATTAAAGTTGCGTAAGTCTTGCCGCATGCATTTGGAGATCTGTCTGTTCAGTTGCCTGTATGTTGTCAAATCTGTTGACGATTGCAGCCTCATCTCCCTTTTAACAGCCATGAGATTAAGAGTGCGATCGGAGAGTTTTTGTGTTCTTCTGCGGCGGGTCTTGCAGAACTTAGCTCCGACCGCATGGACAGTTTCCACGAGCTTGTCATTCATATCGTCCACTGCATTGCAATCTTGTAGGCACTGAAAGCGGTTACGTAACTCGAGCTGAAAAGTCTCGGGATTCTGGATTAGAGCACGAGGGGAACGGAGCGTTGACTTCATTAGACTAGACCTCTCCAACTTAACGTTTAGGTTCAGCGTGCCTCTAACCATTCGGTGATGGCTGCCGGTTTTCACCCTTGCGATCACTGAGACATTACTGAACATTTGGCGTCTGGTCGTCATAATGAAGTCAATCTTATTTTTTGTCGAACCGTCGGGGTCCCCTCGACCAGGTCTACTTCCTGTGGGGCCGCTTCTGGAAGGAGGAGTTCATCATAAAGAGTCCCTCTTTCTACATAAAGTCAGCCAGCTGCTGGCCCCTACGGTTCCGTTGCCCTACTCCAAATTTCCCTAACTTCAGCTCACCGCCTTCTCTTGTGTCTAGTTTTGCGTTGAAGTCTCCCATCAACACCGTGTAGTGGGTTTTGGCGGAATGCATGGCTCTAGAAATATCGTCATACATTTCCTCCAACTCCTCATCGGGATGTGCCGAGGTTGGTGGATAACCTTATGACCTTCAGCAATACTTGGTCTGAATCAGGTAACCTCGTCGACACATCCCCACAAACGGACGATAAATCCGACACCTCCTTGGGACAGATGGTCGCCCTCCCGGTGATAGAACAAGTTGCCGGACTTGAGGATTACCGTGTCCTCCCCCTCTCTTCGGACCTCAGATAATCCAATAATATGCCAGCGCAACTTGTCTACCTCTTCTTCCAGCTCCAATATCTTCTCGTCAGTCCTCAGGCTGCGTGCGTTATACTTTGCCAGGTCGTGTCGTCGTAGGTGGCAACCGAACCTCCACCGGAGATTCTTAGCACCCCCTGCCCCGCCGTTACCATGGTCACCACCGTAGCCAGGAATAGCGGGGCCGCCGTGGACTGGGGGCCGTTCATTTGTGTCGTTGCTCATGGGGGGATATTTGTCATAGTTGCCACGCTTGGCGAGCGGGTTGGCAACCGCAGTTCTTGATTATGTTATTGTTGTTATTGGGAAGGTGCTGCTGCCCATCTCCTTTCTGTGTCCCTCTGTCGTCTCTTACGACACCCACGGGAAGATATGGGGTAGTGGATATTCTCAACCGCCACTACACGGGATAAAAATATAATACAGTAATATGTTATTAGATAATAAAATAATATGTTATTATTGTTAGACTAACTACAAAATACGACTCAATACATATTATACATCACCCAACAGTTGACTGATTGCAAAGGAATATCTATAGTTTACAATGATAATAAGAATTTAAAAAAAAGCAATTAACACTAACCTACTTGATCAAAGCATAATAAAACAAAAGTTTACTGTTAGTTAATCACTAAGTTAGTCACTTAATTAGCAAGATAACTTAATGGATACTATTTGACAACAAAATTCACCAAAACAAACAGTAATGCAAAAATAACATATTTTTAACAGTGTGAATACAAAAGAACTTAAATTTTGCTAACATAGCAGCAAGAAGGTTCCACACAAAAACAAAAAAAAAACAAAGGAATACGATTAAGTTTCGAAATACAAGATTAATAATGTACAATAAGTTTTC